GGTCAAACAACTGATGTTCTTTAACCCTGCTGACTGCCATTGGCGATTGCCAAATAAACATATCACAAGATGTAAAAAATGGATCTTAATTATTAATTTAATACCAAACAGAAAACCATAAACTTGCGCAAAAGATGGTATACCACAAACATGAGGTGCAAAAATTTGTACACCATATCAGGATTTCGACAATTAATGTCTCTTCAGTGATGTTAGGAATCGAAACAGTATTTGGAAGGCCATATAATTTACCTCAATTTAGGATAGACTCTTGAATTTTGAAGAGTTGAAATAGGATGAACGGATCATATAAACCCAAAGGCAAATATAATACAAGCCCAAACGTAAAAAATATAAATAAGTCTAAATTGAAAACAACGTTCAAACCTATGATTGCGTTGGATAAAACCGCAATTTTTATACGTGTGCATGCAAAACAAATTTCTAGGTAGAGGGGTCTAAATATATATATATATATATTTCATTTTGCAATTTTGTCTAAATAATTGCTTAGACTTGTAAACTTCTAACTTTTAAGGAAAACCTGATAAATAGTCTTATTTTGAGATCTGGTTATAAAGATTTTGATAGATTTAAATGCAACAGCATTACCCCATAACACTTTTGCTATATGATTTTCTACTGTGGAGTCACTATTATTCATGGAAGACCAATTACCGTTATTGTGGATTTTGTTGTAATAGATAAACATCAAATCTAAATGTTCCACGAAGTACACATTTTCTAAAGAATTGTATATAGACTTTGGCAAGCCCATGAAATTAAATATCCACAAAAAGACAAGGTTTCCTCAATCCATGCAAATAAGTATCTACTAAAATAAATGAATCCACAAAGTAACTGATGTTAGAAAATATCTTTTCGATAAGGCTTTTACATATATTCAATTTAACCAAAACCATGTGTAAATTTAAGTAGATATATTAATTTCTACATAATTATGATATCAGAAAGGAGATTTCTGATCTAAAGTGACCAGATGATATCATCTTATTTTTTTCAAAGATAAAAGAATTTTCCTTTTTTGCAATTTCAGGAGCAATGCATATAAAGACACCAATCATATTCTCCTTCATTTCACAATTAATTTTCAGATTTTCTATATGCTGCAGTCTGTATTATATACAATTATTTACTGGCTATAAGCATATACCAGTCTTGGGACCAAATTTCCCTTGCCTAGTGGCTCGGGAAATTTCACAGTTCCTTGACTGGTATTTTTCGCAAATACTCCTCCATAACATGATATATCTGTTCATAATAGTTATTCTTACAACTGTTCCAAATGAAAAATATTTTGTAAACCATCATTTTTTTTTAAGTTGAAGCGGATGGCATAAAATTTCCACAAAGCTATATTCTGTATTGAAGTCATAATTATTTGACTGTTCAAATAGCACAGTTGCAGTATAAACAATCATTTGGAAGTCTCTGGAAACAAGTCAATTCAAATGATACAGAAGGTACAGGAAAATTTACCTGGAAAAAGACTTTTTAAGACAATTTCGTAAAAATAGTAAAGTTATTCGTCTGTAATTTTATAAAGAAAATACGTACTGAGGTATAATAAAAGGCAATACTAAATCAATAAGCAGTATTTTAGGAGTCAACAGCAAATCTAGAGCAGCATAGAATTTTGAAACACATCTTTTAGTCCATTTAGTTTAAATTCTATATTATGGAATCTACAATATAAGCTGAAATACTTGATATTTTTCAAATATTGAAAGTATAACATTTAATTTATGGTCCCTGATTTTTTAAATTTCACATTTCTTATTACATTTTCAAATTTCTTTTTTTTTTAAACACATGTTTCCCCCTTTAGGTCCAATTTGAAGCAGATGCATAGCTTTACGAAGAGAATAAGAACAACAATTATCAAAAATAATATGAACTGATAGGAGTATTTATACTGCAGCTACCTATTGTTTTTATTTACTAAATATAATAACAAAGTGATAACCTGCGATGATGAATTCATGTTACATAATTTGAACTTGGGGTCAAAGTTCTAGGTCATGTATCTGTCATGAGGGCATGCAGCACATTGTCTTTACAGCAATACACCCACATACCAATTATTATAAGTCTACTTCAAAGGATCACAAAATTCTGGCCCATACAGGATTACTAAAAAAAGTGATAATTTGAATTCAGGTCATAGTCAAAAGTAATGATGGTAAGCAACAACATAGTCTAATGATGATACACCCAAATGCCAAGTATGATAAGTCTGTACCAAAAGATGAAAAAGTTCTGACCCAAAAATGGATGTATTTAAAAAGCAATAAATACTTGAATATAAATATCTGAGATCAAGGTCATTTGTTTGTCATGATGGTAATTAAGCTAGATATTGTCTTATGGTGACACAACATCAGTCCAAAAATTAAAGCTCTACATCAAAAGTTCTGACCAAGACATGCCTGCAGGTAAAATGTCAGTCATGAAGGTTGATACTCATGGTCACATTCACATATGATAAGTCTACATAAAAGGGTACAAGATTCTAACAAAGTCATGCCATGCCTATAGGTCAAAAATAAATACTGTAAATTTAGAAATTATTGCAAGGTTTTTATTAATGAGTGTAATGCAACAGGGAAAGTACTGCAATAATTAAAGAACCTTAGTGAGCACATTGTCACTGGAGAAATAAAATAACTGTAAGAAAAAAAAATTGTATAAGAAAAAAAAATTGAATCACAATTTCCTGTCGATATGCACATCTACATAGTATGTCCTTATTATCTACAAAGTTTCATGAAATTCTGTTGTGTGGTTTCAGAGGAGTTGCGATGACAAACTGTTGCAGAGGTATATTGAAGCAAATAAGTTCAAAGGGGTGTAACTCCTAGAAAAAAAATTGAATCATAATTTCCTGTCGATATGCACGTCTACGTAGTATGTCCTTATTATCTACAAAGTTTCATGAAATTTTGATGTGTGGTTTCAGAGAAGTTGAGATGACAAACTGTTGCAGTAGTACATTAAAGGAAATAAGTTCAAAGGAGCGTAACTCCTAGAAAAAAAATTGAATCGCAATTTCCTGTCGATATGCACATCTACATAGTATGTCCTTATTATCTGAAAAGGTTTCATGAAATTCTGTTGTGTGGTTTGAGAGGAGTTGCGATGACAAAAGGTTGCAGTAGTATATTGGGCAAATAAGTTCAAAGGGGCTTAACTCCTGGAAAAAAAATTGAATCGTAATTTCCTGTCGATATGCACATCTACGCAGTATGTCCTTATTATCTACAAAGTTTCATGAAATTTTGTTGTGTGGTTTCAGAGAAGTTGAGATGACAAACTGTTGCAGTAGTACATTAAAGGAAATAAATTCAAAGGAGCGTAACTCCTAGAAAAAAAATTGAATCTTAATTTCCTTTCCATATGCACATCTACATAGTATGTCCTTATTATCTAAAATGGTTTCGTGAAATTCTGTTGTGTGGTTTGAGAGGAGTTGCGATGACAAGAAACAGGACTGACGGACTGACGAACTGACTGACGGACGGACAGGTCAAAAACATTATACCCTCCACAACTCGTTGCGTGGGGTATAATAAGGTCTCACATTATGAAATCTGATACATATATCTGTATACAATTTTCCTGAAATCACAATAATTAAGCTAGCATTTTTGTCCTATCGCCAAAAATTGCAATAATAAATGCACACAATAATTTCTTAATTTACAATAATAACTTGACATTGAGGTCAACATTACACTACATTGAAAATAATGAAAATGCTGTTTTTGTCAGGAACAATTAAGGTCAGAATCCCAAATATCAATACCAGCCATTGTTTTGTACAAAGAAACATTGTGTAAATATTTCTTACATAGAGATCAACAGTACCAAAATTGTAAGAAAACCATTGTGTCTTCAGAGGAAATAATAAACTGCTTCGCTGAGCGCAGCTGGATACGCCCGCAGAGGTCCATACCTGAACAGTTGGGGCAAAAATGGACACAATATTCAAGCTTGATACAGGTCTGAATTTGGATTGTAATTAAATATTTGACATATCAAAGGTTTCTGAATAAATGGAGTCAAAGAATTTGAAATTGGTTATATGTATTGAATTTATTTTCAATTAAGGATTTCTTGCTGTTGTGCAATACACTGTGCTGTTGCTCAATACTTAGTAAATCTGTTGTCAGACTATAAACAAATAAAGTTCAATTAATTCTCAATGTCATAACAGAAATTTATGAAAATCAAAAGGGAGCTTACATCAATAGATATAAACAATTCACCAAAGTTTCATGAGAATTGCTGACAGCATTTTTGAGTTATTGTCCAAAAACTGGAAAATCCCCCCTTTTTTAATGAATAAAACCCCATAACTCAGAAATGTAAAATGTAAAATTTATAAAATACTAAAGGGAGCTTACTTAAATAGATATAAGCAATTCACCATAGTTTCATAAGAACTGCTGAAAGCATTTTTGAGTTTTTGTTCGAAAACTGGAAAATCCCCCTTTTTTATGAATAAAACCCTTTAACTCCGAAACGTAAAATCTAAAATTTATAAAAATCGAAAAGGGAGCTCATGTCAATAGATATAAACAATTCACCACAATTTCTTACAAGTTGGTGAAAGCATTCTTGAGTTATTGTCCGAAAACTGGAAAAAAAAACTTTTTTTAATGAATAAAACCCCATAACTCAAAACGTAAAATTTAAAATTTATAAAAAACAAAAGGGAGCTCACGTCAATAAATATAAACAATTCACCAAAGTTTTATGCAAATTGGTTAAAGCGTTTTTGAGTTAATGTCCGACATGTTGACAACGGACGGACGGACAGAGGTATACCATAATACGTCCCGTAAACGGGCGTATAAAAATTGATCAAATACTTAAATGGCTAGGTTGCAAAGTATGTTTTTCATAAAAAAATGGAGAATGATCTATGCACCCTTAAAACCAACCATTATAATGAGTTTATATTGTACAAAACTCACCATTTACCAATGCAGGAAGTATAATATGTAAATGTTCACTCTCTGTACTGCTATCTAATAACCAACTGTTGAAAAAATTCTGTAAACTTAAGGCATCTGAAAAACAGAAAAATATATGTTTGTATAGCAGTGTGTTGTTTGAAGAAGTCAATCAGAATGAACAAGATGGGTAAAGGACATTACAGCAAATCATAAAAATTAAGCCTCCCAGTTGTGTATAACACTGTATAAATTCCTACATGTGTTACACTATAACTTTAATGAAAGAAAATTTGCCCACTTTCTATTTGAATACTAATCTGGCAAGTTGAAATTATTTTATTTTTTCAGATCAACATTTTTGAAATACATTTAATTTGTATAAATTCAGTCACTAACAAGCATTTCTTCTATGATTAAAAATAAAACATATCAAGGGATGATTAATTTTAATTCTGATAAAAATTTCAAATCTTCATAGCAATGTCAAATATTTCAATAATCAACAATTTGACCTCTCATACTCATATGGTTAGGAAAGGGATGTGAAATGTCTGATCAAAATGGTGTACATTGCTCAACTCTTCAATACAATTTGTCCCTAAAATAGTTTCATATAGAAATGATTATGTTATAAAGATGATTATAAGTAAATTTAGACTGATCTTTCATAAGAGGGGAGATAATACAGGTACTAAAACTGAAAATCACAATAATCTAGCAGCACTTAAATGAAAAGAATCTGTGCATCAAAACATGTTTTATGCATAAAATGCAAATCTGTATTCAAATTCAGACAGTCAAAAATATCAGCAGTAAATAAATATATATTTTAGCTAATGGTAATATATCAAGCAGAACATGGAAGGAAAAAACTTAAATAACAGAAGTCACTCTCACAAGAATATAACTGTAAACTAACTTATTTTTGCAGCTACTTTCATTTTTGCATTTAGCCCTTTCCAGGTTAATTCCTACCGATTTATTATCATTTTTCTTGTTAATTGTGTTACGCTTTTTAACAGACTGTGCCAATGCCCCATTTTAATATTACATTTAAAATAGATCTTCTGAAGTGTGCATGCTCTGTATAATAATTGTAATTAAAATATTATGTAAAGGAGAAGACTTCATTAGTTGGTTAAACTTGTGTCTGATCCTATTTGTATCTATGAGCAAATAAAATTGTAATTATAAACTAAAATAAACATATTATCACGATTTTCTAACTTTAAAAAAGAAGATGTGGTATGATTGCTACTGCGACAACTCTTCACAAGAGACCAAATGACACAGAAATTAACAACCATAGGTCACCGTAAGGCCTTCAACAATGAGCAAAGCCCATACCGCATAGTCAGCTATAAAAGGCCCCGAAATAACAAATGTTAAACAATTCAAACGAGAAAACTAACGGCCTAATTTATGTACAAAAAAACGAAAAACAAATATATAACACATCAACAAACGACAACCACTGTATTACAGGCTCCTGACTTGGGACAGGCACATACATACAGAATGTGGCGGGGTTTAACATGTTAGCGGGATCCCAACCCTCCCCCTAACCTGAGACAGTGGTGTAAAGGTACAACATAAGAACGAACTATAAAAATCAGTTGAAAGAGGCTTTACTCATCAGATGGATACAAATAGAAATACATCTAACAAAAACACAGAGTGGACGTGGCCGGGTACTTGTACATCCCAACAACAAAAAGACACTAAGTACAGATCTGAGAGTACTCGCAGTTACTGACAGCTAGTTCAAAGCCAATAACAACTAATAAAAAAAATCCTGCATCTAAGACTAAATTTGTTTATACTAAGATAAGAGAAAACATATTTGCCATAATTTATATTTGTGCTATTTCTGCTAACAAAACTCACAAAAATAATTGTTTGCAAAAATTAGTTGATTTACAGTAACAGTGATTAAAGCTTCACATGGGATAATGGTTCAAATTTCACTTTTAAGATCCTACATGACATTCACTTCCTAGCTATAACTATACACATGTACCTGCATCAAGGTTAACAATATCCACTAGTCCTCCTGATAGACTACTGTTGTTTGATATATTGGATACTAGGCTGTTTTGACTTCCAACAATTTCTGATTCTTCACACATAGGATAGTCTATTCCGAGATTCAACACTACCACTTGTATTCTCTGAAGTTTTATAACAGACAAATTAAAATGTCAAAGGCCTATTCACTGGCAATTATAGATAAGAAAAAAAACTACAACAGACAAAACTAGAGGCTCTAAAGAGCCTGTTTCGGTCACTTGCATCTTTAACAATTGCAACTTTTTGGTAAAAATCTTCATTATAGAATAACAATATTATGAGTAAACTGACAATTTCAGTCATGTTGATGTATTTGCAGATTTCATCTTGCTGATCATATTTCTTTCTTAAACTTTCTATTTATCTATTAAAGTTTTCAAGATAATCAGCAAGAAACACAAAAAAATGGTGAAAAATTACCATTAAAGGGCAATAACTCCAATAAAAAGTCAACTGAAGATTTTTGTCATGATGGCTTATTTGTAGATATTGTCTTGCTGATCATTTTTACTTGTTAAAAGCTCTATCTATCTTTTATAGTTTTCAAGATAATAGGCAAAATTGAAAAATTGGGAAAAATTGTAACTAAAGGGGAATAACTTCAATAAGTTATCAAACATCGACTTCAATCATACTGATCTAATTGTAGATCTTGACTTGCTGATCATTTTTGCAATTTGAAATTTTTATCTATCTATTATAGTTTTCAAGATAATATAGACAAAAATGGGAAAAAAAGGGAAAAATCATCATTATAGGCAATTACATCAATAAAGATTCGACTAATGATTTCTGCCTTGTTGACTTCATTGTAGAGCTTGTCTTGCTGATTATTTTTGTTTTTCACATTTCAAGATAAAAGGCAAAAACGCAAAAAAATTGTGAAAAATCGTCGTTTAAGGACAATTACTCCTATGTTTTTGATGTCAATAGACATTAGGTATTTCTCATCATTCTGAACATTTTTGCCCCGTCAGATTATCTGTATCTTTAATGGTTTTCAAGATAATAGCCAAGCATTGCATTTTACACTTATGTTCTATTTTTAGCCATGTCGAACATGTTGGTTGGGGTGCAGGGTCATCAAACACATTTTATTTAAACTAGATACCCCAATGTAATTGTGGCCAAGTTTGGTTAAATTTGGCCCAGCAGTTTCAGAGGAAAAGATTTGTTAAAGGTAACTGACACAGATAACGACAGAAGACTGAAGACAGATACAAAGTGAAGAATTTGCTATATGATATCTACTCCTAACTACAGCCAATGATACATGTATTAATGTGTAAGACTGATATCTTTATCAGCAGTTTAAGAAATTTGAACTTGCTTTCAGTAAATTGGAGAACTTTTTATACAGCTTTGTTTCGTATTGCTTTACTTGCACTTCTGCTTTTGTTGTCAATTATAACTGTATGAAAATTGTGAGGTAATAATGTTTTGATGTCATGGCTGTTTGTTAAAATTTCAGTTCCAAAGGATGTTTCCAGGAAATATCTGTGCAGAATAAATGTATGCATGGCTAGGGAAAACTTAGCCTTGGCATAATGGATAGCAAAGTTTGGAATGACATTGAAGAATCACATTACTGATAATTTTGAAAATAAGATGACTGTTTACTTCAACTTATATAACATTTATTACTTGATATGAGCAACATGATGGGTGTTCCTTTTAGAGCAAAAAACTACTTAACCTTATAGATCACCTGAATTCCACCTTGGTTTGAAGGTTTATGTTGCTCATTCTTTATTCTTTTTAATGGTTTTTTGTCTTTACTTGTATTTTTTGGTAATGGTGTTGCCTTTTCTTTTTCTGCTAATGCTGTTTCATTCAGCTTATTATCTTCAAATTTTATTGACCAATATACCTTAACATTTTCCAGATTCATTAACATTATAGCTTCATCAATCTGTTTCTGTACCCTCTGACCCTGCTGACACGTCATCAAGATAATCTCTAACTGATTACACAGATATCCTGTTTGCTGAAAAATATTAATATCTAAACTATAAAGCCACAGCACTTAGCTGGACAAATTAAATTGATCAAGTTTGTGCTAGCATTTCATCAAGAACATACCTTCTTTCTAAATTAAAGAAATTTTTAGATATTAATGCCAGGAAAGCATAATATAATGGGTATATTCTGCCGCTCATCGATTACTGCTGTATTGTTTGGGGAGAATGTAAAAATGAAGGAATAATAAGAATATTAAAACTTCAACAAAGGAGCAGCAAGATTAATTCTTGATGCAGACCTTTTATCCCCATCAGCCCCCTTATTTAAAGAACTTGGATGGATGACAGTAGAAAATAGAATCAAATACCTCAAATATTTACTGCTATATAAATGTATGTGGAAAGAAGCACCACAGTTCCTACTTCAAAAGTTTCAACTTATATCTATGGATATCCCACATCTCCTGTTAACAGATTAATTTATACTAAGATTTTTTCCGCAAATAGCAAAATTCTAATTTTTCTGCTTTACAATCCCTTGTTTATTTAATTGGAAACAATAGAGCAATATGAATGAAATTGATTTTCAACATATATATGTGTACTTACAGGGACCATGGTTTTCATCTGTCTGTGAAAATGAGCACATGCCTCTTGTATGCCCTGTACTATGCAACCTTTACCCTCTGTCTGACTTTGACCTCTGTCATGGATGCCATCATAAAGGTCAGTGATAGATGTTTGTATTCTGCTGTAGTTATTCTTAACATGAGACAAAGGAAGAAGCAACTGCAATATATTTAGATATTTTCAACTGTCAATAATATAATAATGAGTCTATACTACCATAAACTTTTTAAGCCATTATTTAAAATACTGTTTATGGGGAAATTCTCTGATGTGTCCAATTTTTGGCAGAAGACAATTTACAGCAAAATTTACCCAACACGAATATTTCATTGTCCTTTCCTCGGCTAAACACCATAGACTTCCCTAATTAAATTTTTCAGGCCCCAGGTTAGACATAAATTTACAAATGTCTTATGTATTGTTACTTGGTTTCCAAAGTTTTGGTCTTTAGCTTACCTAATGACCTCCAGAAACATGTGTTGAGTGCATTGAAATCAGTATTATTATGATCATACCTACTACTGAAGATTCATAAGATTTTGTCGGTACCAATTTCGTGGATTTTGGAAAAAATGTATTTTCCTGGATACATGATTTTGAGGTTTTGACAACTAATGCATATATAACCTATAGGAAATTTGTATTTTGTTGAAAATCGAAATTTGTGGTTCACATTTACCCACAAAATCCACAAAAATTAGTACCCCATGAATTATTGAATACTCGATCCACAGTAATCCAAAATAAAGTTATCAAAGGTTACTCGACTTCAGACCTAAACATTTTTTAAACCTCTGCCAACATATTTGAGCAACATGTAATAAATAAGAAGACAATGAAATAAAATAAAAACCCAACAAATAAAACCAACTAAATTCTCTAAAATTTTTAAACTCAGTCAGAATATTTACCCTACCTCTGGATATTGTGCGAGAGACATAAGACTGAAAAATGGCATCCTTGATGGTCCACCAATATTTGTAGCAACAGAGAACACATTCTCTAAAGTCTGACATAAATCATTGACCAGTTCTCTAAATGTTAATAGTGGATAGGATGTGTCAACCAACAACATTCTGGCTAAAAAATACATTTTAGACATGTGATTTCTAATTGCTTTTTGTACAAATTTTAAATCTGGAGTTATTGTTTGAACAATGACTCTTTTTGTGCTCAATTGCATTGTGCAAGTAACTTCCTAAATTTGTGTGGCTATTCACAATAAAGACGTGCCAAATAGAAGTCATGAAGGGAAGAAAAAAGATTGTGGTAAGTCAACAATAATTTTAACAAAAAGCAATTGCAATTGAAAAACATTACTAATCACTTGCTTTATCATAGACAATAAACATGATAATCAAGTTGGTGATTTTGCAGGTGTCTTCTAGTCAAATAAATAATTTGCATTTTAATGCTAAGTGCAAATGTACAACATTCTTACCAGGTTGTTTTCCAAGCAGCATCCTTGTACCTTCCATTTTTTTCAAATTGCCTGCCATATCAGCAGATGATGTTTAAGTGTCTAGATAATAAAATATCACATCTGTCAAGACTTCATAGTCATCTACAAAATACAAAATATAACAAATTACACACACAGGTCTCCTGTATATATGAAGAAAGAATTCAAAGCGATCCGAAAGATCTGCTTGATTCTTGTTATTTGTGTGTAGTACTGCTTCTCCTGATATAGTTTATATTTAACTGCTCTCCATTATCTATGATAGTGAAGTACACCATTAGCTGAGTTGGTCGAGTGGTGGTTTACTGAGCCAGGGGTCCTTGGTTGGATCTATGTCTGGACAATGGTAATTTTGGAAGAAAAATTCTGCCCGATTAAAAGTTACATATGATACTCCAAATGAAAATAAAACCACTGTGAATAGAAGATATTATAGAAGTTTAGCTATGGCTAGATATTACCATCATGTTGGATATCATCATTATGATAGAATCACTCTTCAGGAGGGGAAAGTGTAGCATATTTATAACTGCCCTCCTTTAGTGGAGCCCTCTATTTGCTGAGATTATGAAGTACCCATTTAGCTCAGTTTGTAGACTGATATAGTGATAATTATGGAAGAAAAATTATGCCCTACTTTTTCAAAGGTATGATGTGAGTGTTAAAGCTTTTTGTTGAAGACTTTCAAGAATTTGTCATCCATCATGATAAATAAAAATACTATTTTACTTTTCATATATGAACTTTTGTGGAACAATAAATATTGAAATAACAAAACGAAATTATGTTATTGAAAATCTTTCTCATTTATATTGTTAATGTTAAATTCTTTCCAAATTCAGTGTTCCGGGCTGCAGAAATGAAAAGGTTATATATGATACCCTGGAACTGTGAGTTCATTATTTCAGACCTGCCAACACCCACTCCTCAACTATTAGGTAGAAAAAAAATCAGTAAAGTCAGCATAATTAGTCTTAAATCTCACTTTTCCCTAAAACCTGTGACTCATTAAAAAGTTGCAGTATTGACCCCTTAGGCTTAAGCCAAAAGTTAAACTAAAGAAATTTATATAAGAATTAAAAAATATGGTAGGATTGACAATGTCAACTATCCAGCAAAACAAAAGGAAAAATGATCTGCTAGTCTTCATCGATGGTCTGATTATGAAGATGATGATGATGATGAGTGATAGGTGCTTAACATCCAGTGGCAAATATTACATGCATGTTTGGACTAGAACATGATTAACCCACCTAAAAAAATAAATAAAAAGAAATGAATTCCTGGAAAAAAATAGGTTCAGATGTAACTTGGAATATGTCAGTATTTATTTTATCATATTTTTTTATCTTTAATAGCATTAACATAATTAAAACACATATTTTTTTTAGAAATAAAATAATTCACCTAATGTAAATGCAAATTGCAACTTGAAAGAATAGTCCATTTAAAATAAAAATCAAAGAAAAAGCCTTTCTTATGGGTCAGTAAGTATGTTTAGAGTTGTATTGATTGACTGTTGTTTGCTTATGTCCAGTGGTACATATTTCATGCATGGACACATTCATAACACATAGTATGAATAATACCTCCACGCAATGTAGTTATTTTATAAAATATGCATCTCTTATCATTGAGAAAATATGTCTTTGTATATTTGTCTTTGTTTTTTGTTTATTTTTGTATTTGTATTTTGTAAATGTCAGCTGGTATCATTCCTGTATTGGAATTTACACCAATAAAATTATTTGATTTGATTTTGATTTGCATGTTCATGATGATATGAATGTAAATAAATTAATACAGTATACATAGATATACCCATTGTGTTATATCCTTACTATTTTCAAAAGATGGGGATTGTTATCAATTCAAAATGTTAATTCATAAATGTATTTCAATTATTCATGCAACCTTAATTTTAATACTATAAATATAATGGAAATGTAACTATTATTTCCATTTCTGTTAATTCATATGCTTAAAAAAAAACGAATTCTTTTTTAATTTATTAAAATATAACAATGCTACATGGCAGTACAAGTAGTACATCATGTCACACACAAAGGGGGAATCAGTCTTATTTGGTATGTATACCACAGCGCTTTAAAAAAATCCTGGGGAGAACACTAATGACCATGCAGTAATGCCAGTATCTATACATACTTAATGATAATGCTTTATTTTCCTATAAAATTTACACATAGCATTACTGTACTTAGACACAGAAATTTTACCTAGGCTCCCATGTAAGATGAAGGTTGACAATTTTAAAAGGGAAAAGAGTCTGCCTGCATGCTAGTTTTTTGCTACTCAAAACCTGTGATGAGGATAACTTATTATTAGGCTTCAACAACAATTTACTGCGCAGAAATAAACTTTTGGTATCGACTAAATTTATAATTGGCTAGCGGTAAATTTATAAATGCAGGGGTATCAATCTATTTCTGTTTGCAGACGAAAAATTGAAAAATTACATACAGGAAGTTCATAAACTAATTTGAGAAATTTTCACAAAACGGCCAAGATATTCCGGAAACCGGTCCTACTAAAAAGCGCCCGGAAGCGCCCGGGAGCGCCCGGGAAAAGAAAAAGCGCCCGGGGAAAAGAAAAAGCGCCCGAGGAAGAAAAAAAAAGCGCCCGGGAGAACAAAATAATAATATTTTATAACAATAAATGTTTTCCTGAATAAAAAAAAAATAATAATTATTGCTTGTTATGTCCTTAATATAAATGGGGATATGTACGATGCTACATCTAAAGTGTGTAGATAGTGTTGTTGCACTTTTACTTTTTAGATTTCAAAATTGTATATAAGTAAGTAAGTAAATATAAACAAGAGTATATAGAAGAATCATGAACGATATTGTCCTCGATCAAACCGTATATTTCGTTATTTAAAAAAAATCAGTGCCCGAGGTCTAATATTCGCAACTGCATGGTGAACACTTTTCAAAGTTTTGTATTTTATTAAACACACTTGAATTGACGGTGGAAGATCGTGGAAGGGTTTCAACATGCCTAGCTGCCACTAACAAAAGAAAAGTTAAACCCACTGCTAAAGCAAATATGATATTTTGGCCTTGTGGAATATGCCGTAAAAATTGTAAAATTGCAAGCATCTGCTGCGAGAATGGTGAGAGATTATTGGTCCTATAAAAAAAATACCGGAAATCTATATTTATAATAACATTTTAGCTTTAAAATATATAATATAAGAAAAAGCGATATCTGGTTCATATGAAGCATTTGAATTCACTGTCTCGTTTGTCATATAATAAAAGACAGCAAAATAACTGGACAATAGTGAAGTCACATGCTTTCTAAACTTTTATCTATTGTCTATTATCAGAATTTGCAAAATACTTGTCTAAAATTAAAAAAAAATCAATGTGCATAACTTATTTCATCGACACAAAGTTGTCTCATGCCAATACAATATCTATATATTTCCCCCGGGCACCTTTTCTTTTCCCCGGGCGCTTTTTTTTTTCTTCCCCGGGCGCTTTTTCTTTTCCCCGGGCGCTTTTTCTTCACCCGGGCGCTCCCGGGCGCTTTTTAGTAGGACCCTCCGGAAACAGCGTCTTTTTTTTTGTCACACGATAAAGTACCCCCGCGCTATTTTGAGTTATGAAATGTATTAAAAAAGACCCGCCAAGTCCCAATCATTTGGTGAATGACAAATTGTGTTGAGAACATTCGATTTCCCAGTCCGTATCCGATATGTTTTGCCTCCGTCTCCGAACTCGGTTTACCGGAAGCACGTGTTGAAAAAGCAAAACACAACTGTTTACTTCAATTTTATGAACATCTACTTTTTGTACGACATTTGTGATAGTAATATATTGAACACATACTTTTCATGCAGAACAATGTAAGTTTCTGATAAAAACCAGGTTTTACAACCAAAGCGCTTAATCTCACAAAGACACTCCATCAGTTTTCTCATTATTTTTCCTAATCTTTCAAAAAATATGCATGTGTAAGCTGTAATTTCAAACGTACACAGTCTTATGTTGTCAACTTCTTTTTAATGGCTCATGACAGGTTATGCTGGTATGAATAAATTGAGGTGTGGTGGTATACTTCATATGCGGATTTAGGGGGACATGGGAGATGTACACTGACACTTGTTTCTACTCATGGGAAGGTCCACTATCCATATAATTTGCCTGTGAAGATGTAGTACAATTGCTAATGAGACAACTATCCCGATGTTAGCAACTATATGTCACAGTATGCCTCACAAAAATTAGCAAAACTCATACTGTTAGTGACATGCTTACCCAACTTGAATGGAAAACCCTTGAAGATCGTAGAAAAGCATCAAGACTCACATTGATGTACAAACCTGCCAATGGTATGGTTAATGTTGATACAGAAAACACTCTAACTACACCAGACAGATCTAGACTATCCCGTAGTATAAACATCAACAGTTTCCAAGTACCATCGTGTAGAACAGAACAAATAGACTGGAACGCACTACCACTTACCATGCTTACTGCCACCACTGCAGGTTGTCCTGAATGTTTCAAGACTCACCTATATGAGACAATCTAGACCACCGTCCAGGATGTTTTAAACTTAACTGTATATAACAATTATCCCTTTTTTTCTGTAAAATATTTACATGCACATCCAAAAGTGGCAAAATAATCAATTTATTGATGTTTGCTGAATAATGATAAAAGTAGAAGTACTGTATAGTCTGCTTCTGTGTTGGTTTAATGACAATAAAATACCGTATATGTTTTTTTTTTGTGTAGGCTTTTTTCACGATTTGATGACAAAATGAGCAAGTTAAATTTTCCCTGTGTAAATTTTTTGCTGTCAGAATGGGAAAATACACTTGAAAAAATAACTTGTTAAAGATGTAAATTACATAATCTTGATTGACTAACAGGTCATCAATTACAAATAAATAGGAGTACTGCAAATTTATATACACATAATTTGGAGAACTTTCAAGGAACATATAGCATATGTACAATGCGACATGCTAAAAGTTGAAGGTTTTGATCATTTATGTAATGATATAACAAATATAAATATCTCAGTGTAAATGTGATATATTTCATTTTTACAGTATATGCAAAATGTTCGGGTTATGATACCAATCAATAGATCGTCGCTAATTATCATTTTAACATGTCACCGATTGCTGTGTTGTGAAAAGGTGTCCCGTGTATAATTAGCTTGTTTAATTAGTATGAAAACAAAGATCTTAATTAAGTATGCAAATTCTTATGATCTGTCAAATATCACAAAGACTGATTTTATATATAATGTTAGTTCACCTTTAGGGTGTAGAGATTTCAAATCAATTTTGTGTATATTCATTAATTAGTGTATGAAACTTTCAAACAGCGATAACTCTTTGAGCATGCAAAAAATTTACAAAGAGTAAAATTTTCCGTTTCTTTAGCTGCTGTGAAAAAAGCGAAAATTAAACACACGCGTAAAAAAAAAGATATATGATATGTTTATTCTATTTGAGTTCCCTGCAGAATTACATTTTAATTCTGTTCTACATTGTTCTATCAACATATAAAAAAAGACTCTTGAGACATAAATTGACAATGCTTAAAGAATCGTCTGCATGTAATTCTCCATGTGTTTAATCCAGCCAAGCCAGTTCAAATAATTAATGGGTAATTTACAGACAAATTTTGATAAATTGGGAATATGACAAAATTGATTTGGCGAAATTGAAAGCCTGTGGTTCAATTATTTAAACCATCTACATTGTACAGTGTGTATGAATATAGTTACTAAAATTGTTTAATACTGATTGATTGAGAGTTGTTTGCTTAATGTCTAGTGGCATCTTTTAATACTGATATGTCTTCACAGATATTTAACAAAGAAATCTATTTGGAAAGGTCCATGCTGACAAAATTATTACCATGATTATCATGATTATCATGATTATAGGTTTGAGATGAAGGTTCTTAACATACTCCTTATTTAATTTTCTGCATTTTTAATGACAGATTGAATGCAATCTGCTGTAGACATTTTGATCTTTGGTATACTGAAATGATATTAATCTCCAATAAACGAAAATAATTTAATCTTTGAATGTATATTTTCAGATAAAAGATGGTGAGAAAAAAGATAGATAACAGATTGAGAATATTGATCGAAAATGGTGTGGCAGAGAAACACCGGAGTATGTTTGTTGTTGTTGGAGATCACGGTCGTGATCAGGTAAGATGGAATAAAAGTGG